TGTTTACACTAAAAATATGACTCTGATTGTCTGTTTGGGTCAGTTTCTCTGATTGAGGCAGGCTGCTTGATTCCACTGACCCGCATGGCGCTGCTCGACCTCCTCCTCTCAGCTTTATCCGTCCGAGAGTGAACTAAAGTCTCAGACCCCGTTATTTCCGTCTCTGTATGTCCGTGCCCCGCTTCCTCAGGGTGACGTCAAACGGCTGGACGCCGAGGTTTGGAAACTGCTGTCTAATTTGTCCGACGGTCAGGCTGGTTCCGGCCCCTCCTCCAAAACCTCTACCTTTTCCTCTTCCTGGATACCCTCATCCGCTTCTTCTCAGCAGTCTTTACGCATCCCCCCCCCCCCCTCCCCCCCGTCGGGTATCTCTTCCTCAGCTAGGCGAACTCATCCTCCGCCTTTCGCCCCTCAGCAGGTACACTCTGCCAGAATCTGCATATGGCTTTTGTAGGTTTTTGTGGTCACATCGGTGACTCCTACTGTTTGTTTTTGGATCACCAGAGCAAGAACGTAGTGGGAAAGACTGCCCGTGCTCCTGATGGGAGCAGCAAGGTAGACGGTCGCATGACTGATTGATTATAGCGCGGTTTGATAAAGGATTTTAGTTTTTTAGTTTGCTGAAATTACAAATTTTCATTTTTCCAATGTTCACACAAAACCAGTAATGGTACCTTTCCCAGTTCCTGGGCATTGTTAAGCAAAAGGAAGCAGCTTGTTGCTGTTTTGGAGTGGAGTGAGAGGATTCTTCCACCAGCCCGTCATTATGCCGTTTCCTGGTTAAAACCTCCCTCTGACATCATCCTAAGCTGTCATTTTCTCATTACTGGCAGGAGAAGCTGCAGTTGAGCTTGTCAGGTCTTAACGCGAGGCCCCCACAGAACAGCGTTTAGACTTTATCTGTATGTCACACTTATTAGGCTTCCCCCTCGCGCCGTGGTTTCCCGCTCGTACCGCTTTCCTGTCTTCTGACTTCTGATTTAACCCCCCCCCCCCCTCTCTGCTTCCCTCTGTCTGCGTGCCTCTTCTTTCCTCCCCTCCACCTCTCAGTACGCTTTGGTCTACAAAGGCTTCAGCTCCCAGCAGGATGATGTGCTCTACTGGCAGCTCCCAGAGCAGTTCATGGGGGACAAGGTAATTGGGACTGAGCCCCCCCACCTGAGTGCCATCCCATCCTTTGGGGGGGACACGATAATAGGGCACTTTTTTCATTTCTCATTTGCCACCTTTTGTCATGCCGTTTACTTTCTCACTCACTTTCTGTAGTTAACTCCCAAATCATCCATCAAAGAAAGGCCTTTATTTCCTACATAGAGGCCTTATGCAGGGCTTTGGTATCACAAATGTATTTTTAAGGCTTCCCGGGCCACATGCAGTTTGAAGTCTAAACTGGTTTCATCTTCAAAGATCAAGGCTAAATATTGGATTGTCCCGTGTGCCATCGAATTGTAGATGCTGGAACATTTTTTTCAAAAGCTGAACAGTTTCCTGGGGTCTTCACTGTTTCCCCATCCATTCATTTTTCAAATTAAGTTTTTAGAGGCTTATGTGAGCTGTTGAGAATTTTTCACCAGCGCTGAATTAAATAATAGCAAAGTATCCAAATTTCAGCATGAAAAAGCAAAAACAAGTCAATACAAAGTCTTTTATTTGTGGAGGTGGAATGCAGGTTCGTGATAAGATAGTTTCTTAATAACTGCCGATGACGGACCAAAGAAAAGATTTTCACTACAGAAAGAAAACAAATTCCGGATAATAAGAAACTGTGGGGGGGATATAAGGATGTGGGGACTTGATAATTCTACACTGAGTGGGTAATATGATATAATAGAACTCTGTAAATCTCCATTCACAGTCCCAGAAGACATTACACAGCCATTCCATCATTATAACTTGAGTAATGTGCAAGCTGATACTGCTGCAGAGACATCAGCGAAAAAGTTTTTAGTTTTAGGACACTATTTTGACCCCACGCCGTTTTGGTGTATTTCAATTTTATAGGTGGGTTCTTATGGCGGCAAGCTGAAATACACCATCTCCTATGTGGCTGACCCAAGAGGAAGGTACCTGGACGACGTGGACGTGCAGATTATTGTGAGTACGCACGTCGACGGGATCTAAGTTTTTCAGTCTTTGCGTTGCTCACCTGCCCGTGTCGGTCCTTTAGGGTAACGACATCACCCTGGTAACTTCTCTGCCGTGGCCGAGGACGCTGTACAGCAGCAGAGAGACCAAGAGGTTTGAGGTGGTCTTCAGAGAGGTGAGTGGTTCACAAGGGGGCGCCTGACTAAAAACCCTTCCCGATGCAGGAAAAATCGAAACTTCAGAACTGATAGTTGTTGTTGTTGTTGTTTTGTTTGTTTTTAGTATTCATAAGTTGGGGTGGCACGGAGGGTTGTGGGTTCAAGTCCCCCGGGGGAACCAGGACCTTTCTGTGTAGAGTTTACATGTTCTCCCTGTGTCCGTGCGGGTTCTCTCCGGATTCTCCGGCTTCCTCCCACCGTCCAAAAACCTCCACGTTAGGTTGATTGGACATTCCAAAATTCCCCTTAGGAGTGAGTGTGAGTGTGCATGGTTGTTGGTCCTTGCGTGTCTCTGTGTGTACTGTGATGGACTGGCGGACCGTCCAGAGTGTACCCGCTTCTCGCCCACTGACCACTGGGATAGGCTCCAGTTCCCCCCGCGACCCCATTAGGGAATAAGTGGTTACGATAATGGATGGATGGATATTCATAATTTGCTTCAGACGTTTCTGCGCTTTACAGGAAAACTGGAGTCGACCCGACGGCATGCCCGCCACCCGAGAGCACCTGCTGATGGTCCTGGCCGACCTGGACGACGTGCTGATCCGAGCCTCCTACTCCACCGAGATGCGCTCGTCCAGCATCTCGGACATCAGCATGGAGGTGGCCGTGCCCACCTTCAGCGGCCTGGCGCAGGCCCTGGAGGTGGAGCAGTGCCGCTGCCCGCCCCAGTACCAGGGGCTGTCCTGTCAGGTGACCCGCTCCGTCCCTCCGGCCCCAGCTCTGTTTTTTACCGAACGTGTCGAGAAATGACCGTCAATCAAAGTCTTAGCGAAACACAAAGACTCCGGTTTCTAAATCCCCCCGTGTCGGCTATAGGATTGCGCTCCTGGATACACTCGCACGGGAGGAGGTTTGTACCTGGGCCACTGCGAGCTCTGCGAGTGCAACGGCCACTCGGACTCCTGCCACCCCGAGACGGGCACCTGCACGGTACGATCCTCTCCACACAGATCCGAAGATAGCGTTCGCAGGTCTGTAAACACCATCTCTCTGCCTTTCTGCACAGGGCTGCCTGCACAACACCCAGGGCGAGGCCTGCGAGCAGTGCGCCCCCGGCTTCTTTGGCGACGCAACAGTTGGCACCCCGGAGGACTGCCAGCCCTGCGCCTGCCCTCACACTGACCCAGACAGCCAGTAAGCACCGGCAACACATACCGAGAGCTCACATTCCACCTCCATTTATAGCTGCGGACAGTTCTGGATCCAGCTCTGAAACCTCCCCTGTTTTCTTATTTCTAGAAGCCACTGCCATTGCCTCTTTCTATAGAATTTAATAAGGATTTTTTCATTTCTTTTCTTTATTTTTAAATGAAAGAATGGTTCTTTTATGATTATTTGCTGCTTATATTACTGTTAACAGATAATGATGTGTTTTGTATCGTTTTGTAATTCCATTCATTTATTTATTTTTAAATCTAGACTTAATCTTCCCGTGTTTTCTCGTGGAACAGGTTCTCCCCGACCTGTGAGAGCCTCGGAAATGGAGGCTACCAGTGCACGGCTTGTCAGCCTGGCTACACCGGCCAGTACTGTGAGCGGTAAGACGTCACTTATTTTTGGATTGCCGGTTGGATAGTTTGAATCACAAAACTAAAACCGAACTCCTGTGTGTATTTCCCTCCCGTTAGTTGTGCCCCCGGTTACGTCGGCAACCCGCAGGAGAGAGAAAAGTGCCGTCCCAATGACGGTACGGTGACTTGGAAATATGATTCAAAGCGTCCAAATGTTTGCGCATCTCAATGTCACTATCAGGGATTAATTAGACACGCTTTCTCCACACATTAATGCGAACAGACAGGAAGCCGCCCGCTCGGAGGCAGAAAAATGTCTCCAGTAAACAGTGTCATATTTTCACTTTGAACGCCTTTTGAATTTTTTTGACGAGTTTACCACCTTTCGACTGCATTTGAACAGCCGCAGCCTCCCTGGTGGTGAAGGTTTACCCGGAGAGGTTCCAGACGTCGCAGGGCAGCCCAGTCACTCTGCGCTGCCAGGTGTTCGGCTCCCCCCCGCTCTACTTCCACTGGTCCAGAGAGGACGGGCGGCCCATCTCCAGCGGCGCCGAGAGGCGCAAGCAAGGTCCGGAAAAACTTTGATTTGGCAGTTATTGAGAGGTGGAAGGGGACTTCTTTTTTTTTGTCTGACCACTATAATTGCAGGCGCAGAGCTGTACTTCTCCAGCGTCCAGCCGGGCGACGCCGGCGTCTACATCTGCACCTGCAGAGACCAGCGCAGCACCAACCGGAGCGGGGCGGAGATCGTGGTCCAGGGTGTGTGTGGCTCTCAGTGGATGACCCGTACTTCGCTTCAGGGTGACCGCTTACCTTTTCGGGACTGTCTCCGTGACGTAGACTCTTTGTTTTTTTTTGTCAGGTGGCCCCTCCAAACCCATCGAGGTCACAGTGGAGGAGCCTAAATCTCAGACGGTCAGGGTCGGCTCGACGGTCAGCTTCATCTGTACCGCGAAAAGCAAGGTAGCGCGCCCGGTCACCAGCCTGTCCGCGGACTAGGGGTCCGGTCTCACAGTTTTCGGGTTCCATCCCCGTGTCCCGCCTCTCTCCTCCACAGTCGCCGGCTTACACCTTGGTCTGGACCCGGAAGGGCGTGGGCAAGCTTCCCCACAGGGCCATGGACTTCAACGGCATCCTGACCATTCAGAACGTCCAGCCCGAGGACGCCGGCGCCTACGTGTGCACGGGCTCCAACATGTTCGCGATGGACGAGGGCAGCGCCATCCTCTACGTGCCAGGTTTGTGATCCCCCCCCCCCCCCCACCAGCCCCCCCGCTGCCATTCCAGCTCCGGCTCCTGTATTCTCTCGCCTTCCCCCCCACTTCCTTCGGCTCGGAACACTGCATGCTTTTCTGTTCGAGTTCACTCTCGTTGCGTGACGTGAACGCTCCGCTTTGGCTTAACAACATAATAAGCGCGCAGGCCTAACTCGCAACGCTTTCTGCTCTCTGACCTCATCCTGCTGCCGGTCACTGTCTTGCCCCCTTTGATTTTCATAACTCCGCTGCCTTGTACGTCTCGGATGACTGAATTTTTTTCTGGACTTTATATGAAGACAACAGCTTGTGTGTTTGGTTATGACTAAACGGGTGAAGCACGACATTTCCAAACAACTGCGAGGTTAAGTACCAAGCTCAGGTTTTATTAATGGGCACAGCAAAGACCAAATCAACTTGTGATTTGTGATAAAAGCTTTCCTCTAAAATCTGCTAAAACCACGGCAGTTTATTATCTTTTTTGTTTTCATGTGGGTTGAATTAATCGGTGGTGGTTTGGTTGCTTCTCGATCACTGGCAGAACTTTGCACTGGTCCTGTTTTACTAGCAGGGTGCTGGGTTGTGGTGTTTGTCTTTAACTCTGGGCTCCTGGGCTCCTTCCTGAGCTGTAATGGGCAGTGGTGAAGGGGGGGGTCACAGATGCCACCACCAATACGATAGAGAACTGCCACTCACAGAGGACTTCAGTGTATCAACATTCCTGGGGGGAAAGAAAAGTCCCCAAAACCCCCTGTGTTTATTTTTTTTAAACTTCCTCCATTTTATTCTTTTGTTGTTGTTGTTTTTGTAGTTTGGTCTGCTGCTGTCAGTATTCTTTCTTGAAAGAACTCTGACTGTTGTAACTCTAAAACCCTGCTAAAAAGCGTGTTAAATGTCCGCGTTTCGTACTGGTTGTATTCCTGCTTTAATGTCATTCCTTCGTTCCTGTGTCAGAAAAAAATTACCTTATGTTCGATTAACAGTTATGGCTGAAAAAGAAATCTTGTTTAAACCCTGAATCACCTCCAGCATTACCATTTTATTGAAATGTATTTTAATAAAAATACATCATTTACGCCAGATTAATTATTTTGGAATATTCTATTTTCTAAATGTACCAGAGATGCTCACATGTGTTGTTTTTTGTTTTTTTTAATTCAGATGGATTGACCATGTGAATGCAGTTACATTGCATGATGTGTGTTTACATTTAGTGCTTTTACAAAAATCTATTTTTTTATAAGTACAATCACTGGTCACATTTGATACTTTTTTGTTTACCCTCACTGGATTTTTATTTGTTAGTTTTTATTGATTCCAATTCTGTTGTGATTGCAAATGTAAAGATCTGGCTTGCTTGTTCTAATGTTTCTGCTTAAACGACAAATAACTGATGCGATTTACATGTCGTGTTGAAATGTATTTATCTGAACTGTGAAAATATGTTGTGAAAAAGGAAAAAAAAAGATTAAATAACAGAAATAGAGCGACACCATTTTCATATTCATGAATGGGGTTTGTTACAAAATATTATCTGATTTGTATAATAAAACCACAAGCTGTATGTCTTGTTTTTTAATGGCTGAAATGAATGGAAATGGTTTGAATCAGCTTCCTGCTACTAACATGCACGCCTCACATGCTCATCTCCATCTCTGTGTTGCCCCACAGCTCTCACAACCAGCATTTGTGTGTGTTTGTGCTTCTTGATTATTTGATTAAACAAAAAGTTTGATGTATAACACATGTGTTTTTGTCAGCTGCAAATGTTCCTTGCTCTTTTTACAGCAACAATGGATTCTTGATGTCTCTATGATCAGACTGAACTAACCCATAGCTCAAAGTCAGAAAAAGTTGGGACAGGAGTGCAGAAAATTTAGAAAATCAAACAAAGGAATTCAGAATTTAATTTACTTTGAGTTTTTCACAGAAAACATGAAGACCCAAGATATTTCATGTTTTTTATTTCTAGTTGTAAACTTTTGTGTGATCGGTTTTTGAATCCACTAAACCGAACATGACTTGCCTCCTCCATCAGTTTGAGTACTCCTGGTGTTTCTGGCTGTAGGCAGACCTCAGTTATGACTCCTTAGCAGGTATCCTTCCATTTCGGTCCTATTATGCTCATTCTGGAGAGTTTCTCAAACTCTGACCTGGACTCATTCATCATTACCTGAAAACCAGCAGTGGTTCATTCAGTGTATGATACTATAAATCTTCAGACGTGGGGTTTCTGCTTCAGTTAACTTTTGTTCCCTGCCTCTTTTCAGGCTACTGTTGAAAATACCCCTGCCGTCAATAGACTCCAAAGCATACCGAACACACTGAGAACACGTCTCTTTGTCTCAGAGACCGTCTATAAACTTTGAGAGCTCTGAGTTCTCAGTGAGTTACACATTTGAACTAATTTGGATGTCAAACCAAATTTACCCATTTTATACCCGAATATCCATGAACTCACAAAAACATCAAGCATAAAATTCAACCACTAGAAATACGTTTCCTATTAATTAATGCTAATTATTTAAACCAATTAGACTTTTTAAGCAAGAAATAATAATGCTCTATTTTTCTTTTTTTTTTATAAAAACGGTGCGCTTCCACATAATGGCGTATCTACCATTACAGAAAGCATTTTGGTAGCTGCTGATATTGTTATTATTAGGAGGGCTTTAGCATAAGCCTCACATTGGGGTGGTGGTCTAATAAATGTATGATGAATAACAATGTTTTTTCTCCATGATGTAGCCATTTCCTTCTCCCAAAATTGAAAAGATACTCTGATCTGATATCGAGGATACAAACAAATGAAACATTTAAATAATTGCGTTATTCTTTTCGAACTGCATAAACATTTCAGACATTGTGGCATCTTGCAGGCGTTTTCACATATTTTGATTAAACATCCAACCGTAACTCTTTCTCTCTCTCACTCTCTCTCTCTCTCTCTTCCTCTCTACATGAATATGTGTATTCAAATAGGTGTTCTCACACACATGCATCTGTGCTATCAACGGTTTTCCTCATGTGATTACATGAGCTTCAGAATGGAGGTTCCTGATGCATGAAATATTTTGGGTTCATGTTCGTCAATGTCAATGAAAGACCGCTTCTTTCTTTTTTTTGGTTCTTGTTTCACAGTCCCAACATTTTCTGATTTAGGTATGTAAATAACTTATTTCCTTCATAGATCCCTCTCAGGTAAGTAAAACGGAATGCATGAAACTGAATTTAATGGGACCCACCAAGCAGAAATGGCTAGCAGTTACTGAATGATGACGTCAATGTAATGCCAGATTAATTCAGGTTCCTAACTTTTTTTAAGCATGGCTGATGGTGTTTTTGTGGTGGAGTTGGATGGACAAAAACTCTCAGTGTACATCCAGGGATATGCTGCGACTGTGGCTGGGAGAGGAGCGGTACAGCGAACTTGCTATTTTTCTTTTCCATTTTGGGAGATCTGACCTGTCAGTTTGCCTGTCCCCCTCCATCCCCGCCTCCCTCGTCCCCCGTCTCCAGAGGTCTCACAGACTCAGATGTTTTACACAGCCTATGAAATGTTTGAAGGACATGGAAAGCGTAAGTCCGCATGGTTTCCTGTCCGTTGGGCTCCCTGGTCGGACACGCCTCTCCCTCTCTGAGTCATGCATGCACTCATCTTCCACAGCCTGGATACACTGGTGGCCAGCTAATGCTTATGTACAATCAACCCAGCAACGGCATTTGAAACCTCAATCCACAAACAGCAGCCAAAGTGCTCATAGGAACCGGAATGAATATGCAAAATTCTAATAACCCCTTAAATTTACCTTTTAGAGCCATTTGTGTTTGTACATGAGCATTATTGGTTCCTGTCCTACTCTTTGGGTTCATCGGGGTCCATCGGTGCAGGAAAAAGTGCATGTTAATTCTTATGGGCACCTCCTCATGAATGTCGAGTCTGCTTTTCACCTTGTTTAAAAGTCTGTCAGTAGTACTTAGTAAATGAAATCTGCTATACTTACAAATGTAACGTTCTAAAGATCCACACCAGGCAAAAGCTTTTTTTGTAAAAACACGATGCAGAAAAATGTTTACCTAATCGGACATTTTTCATAGTTCAGTCTTTCTTTATTTTTCAACAGACGAGATCTTTGTTAAGCATCTTTTGTAAGACAATCTCCACATTCACAAACAGGAGATGCCACATCTTCCTTCTCTTTCACTTTGCACTACTTTCTGTCTTTTCAGGAAACCTGCTGTAATATTTTAAAAGAGAAAAAAGCACTGTCCTCTGGGCTTCAAACATAACTGTGCTTAATACATCCCATTACACACCTGTTACATCATACATGTGGTTGTGTGCATGTAGCAGACAGGCTCACTTTCATTGGTCTCAACAAGAATTATAAAGCTGCAAAGCTAGTTTATCGTGGGCGGATATTTATTTTAAAGATGGTGGCAGGATTATTGTGATATAATGATATAAAAAGACTCAACTGAAGGTACTATGAGGATGACTCTGCCAGTACCCCAATGTCCCATTGAACTCCTATATTTCGCATCGAATGTGGAAACGCATTACCACAAAATGTCCTCGTACCCTTAGAGCAAACTGCAACATTTATTATCTCTGTTCACATTGTTCATGTGTCTTCCGGTAGCTTCAGTTGTGTGGTAATTCAGTGGTAATTCTATCCCTTTGAGCTTCACTTCATTTTAAGCTCCCATTTAAATGCTAAATGTTAGCAAGCTAGCTTGCTAATCTTTTTCTGTGAGCAGGAGAATCCTCACGCCTGCGGCTAACCTGGAGGGGAATTTGCTTGGTCATTTAGCTCAAGTCAAGTGGGCTGTAGCACCAACAGAAAGGCCGTTTATACATAGACCCATGGTCAGTTGCAATGGCACAAAAATAAATATCTATTTGCCTCTCTTTTGACGATAAAAATCAGGTCGGTGCATCAAAGGCTAGCCAGACATTTAGCTAGTGTCGACTAGGGTTTCTTCTTGCACAAGATGTGTACTTTGAGATTTGAAAATCAATCCACACGGCAAGAAACAGTTCTAAACCCAACATCAGTGTTATTTTTAAATGTTCCTTTTGTATTCGGTTTCACTTCTGCTCGGTGTCTCACAGAGGAAGATGGATATTCCCCTCTGCCTGCTGTGTTGTTGTTATTAGGGTCAGGGATTCAGCCCATAACTCGTAGGTCTCAGAGGTTTTTAGTTTTCTTAGATAGCCTCCCGTTCCTCTCTCTGTACTGAAAGAGGCCTTTCTTCTTCTCTGCCACCCTGGGATCATATGAGATTGAATACTTAGTCTTCCAGCGGGCCGAACTGGCGCTCGGAGCAATCTGCCCGGCCGCTGTGCCAAGAACCGCCTGCCACATCTCATCTGTTTTTCCTGCTCCACGGAATCTCGGCTGCCAAGTTTCAGGGCGGGGGTACAGGCAGAGGCCATCACTCACTCTCCCAGTTTGAGCCGTTCTCTCATGTTTCCCCACTGCTCGTTTCGAGACGATGTAGTGGTCAAGCACCCCCCTGAAAAAAGTTTTTTTCTCGTTCTGCTTCGCCTCCGCCACCGAGTCCAGCCTCGATGATTCAGTTTTATTTCCCCTACATTTCACCCCGTCCACCATGTTTGCAGCTCGGTTTGAATGTCGTGTCTCCCTTCAGCCGCAGAGAGGCCCCAGCCTGTGGCCACCATCACCCCCTCGGTGCTGAACGTCCAGCAGGGCCAGCGGGCAGAGCTCCGCTGCACGGCAACGGGAAAACCCACCCCGGCCATCGAGTGGATCGGTACGGCCGTTTAGACCGCAGTCTTAGAGAAAGCCGGCGATCTGAAACCCGGTGCTGATTGGTGTGATGGTTACAGGGGGGCCAGGGAACAGGATGAGCCCCAGAGCTGTGGTCCGGGGGGGCGTTCTGACCTTCGCAGCGATGGACCCGGCTGATCAGGGGGAATACACCTGCAAGGCCCTGAACACTCACGGCGAGCACACAGCGAGGGCGTCCATTTTTGTCCAAAGTACGCACCCGTGCATGTCAAGTCAGAAAAAAAAATACTCTCACATGCTAACCGACCAGATTTCATCTTACACAATGGAACATAAATCAGCTAATCCACTTTACAACACACACAGATGGTGTTTCTTTTGCTAAAAACTCTCCATCAAACTCAGTTTTTTTGTTGTTGTTGCTTAGAATCTAACCCAGGTAACCTAGGCACCCAACCTCAAGTCCAAGTCAGTCCCCAAAACGCTGAGGTCCACGAAGGGGACACCTTGAGGCTGTACTGCAGAGCATCGGGCTCACCCGCCCCACGGCTCACCTGGCTGAAAAACGGGGGGCAAATCCCTCCCCAGGTAAGCTACCTCGTGCTTCCCTCTATTGATATCCATCCTTTAATACACATCCTAATACCTCAAGGTGTGGCCAGTGCCGATGGTTATGCATTTTTCAGTATTTTTGACCATTTACCTGTTTGCCTCCCCCCTCCCCCCTTCCTTTTTCTTAAAAATTCATTTTATTTACTTTTCTGTTGTGTGTGTGTGTGTGTGTTCTGCCCCGTTTGCTCAGGCCATTCCCTCTCACGGTTTCCATCAGTTTAAAAGCAACAGTATCGATGTGTTACAGAGACGTATTGAGGAGCTGCAGGTCTGTCCATCTGTCCACCGTCTGTCTGTCCGTCCCGTGTCGTAGCTCACACTCATTGTCCGCCACTGACCTCGTCTTCACATGCCGTCCACTAAAAAAAAATGCATGATGAAACGTGTCCTTGATTCACACTTTTGTAAAAATGTGTTAATATGCCACTGCTGCTCACCCAGTGCACTCAGAGCTGGTGCCAGATTCATTAGAAACCACCACGCCGGGTCCGGATGGCCCCTTCTGCACGCTGTAGTTGTGTGTTGTTGTTGTTTTTTTTTAATATATGTGGCGTTTTATTAATTGATTTTGTTCCATCGTGTCTTGTTTTTTGTGCCGTCCACATCATGCCATCCCTAAAAAGTTTTAGTTCTCAGCTCCGAGATTAGCGCCATTGTTCCATTGAGTGTATTAACAGCACTAAGTATACAGTAGATACTTTAGGTATTTCAGAATGTTTTGCTCGGTGCCTAACACAGCCCCGCTGCCCCCCTTCCTCCCATGCCCATGCCCCCCCCACCCCCACCCCCTGTCCCAGGCGGGTTTGTGTTAGTCTGGTTTCTGCGCGGCCCTCCTCGGGTCGGCGAGGGGCTTCAGGGCCCGTTTAGTTCTGCCTCAGAGCACCGCTGCGTTGTGTCAGCCTTTCCCAGGGGGAGCGGGGCTCTGCCGTGCGGCCACGCAGAAATTCTGTATGCTCTAGCAAAGGGGCTTGCTTTGAAAAGTTCAGACACACATTGATTCCGGGCCCGCCTCGGCCGCTGCTCGGTTTAGCATCCCTCACGGTTGAGTTGGCGGCAGCTAAGCAGCTTTGTTCGCGGATGCCCCCGACACTCCGCCCCATACAGTAATCCCTCCCCGGACCTCCTCCCCCCCCCCACTCTGAGGTGTTCACAAACTTAATACAGGCTCGTTTTCGGCCTTGCTGGGCCTCTCACTTCCACGTACTGTAAGTTGTTGACGTGCCAGACAGTCGTGTAGAGCTGATGGAATTGATGGCACGCCTTTGATTTCCTCCCCATAAAAGCTCTCAGATACAGCCACGTACACATAAAAAGAAAAGAAAGTGCAGTTTCTCACTTGTAAGGTATCAGGATGTCATTTTAAAAAATCATCTGGTCCTCACCAAGTCTAGGAAAGCAGTCAAATATAATAATACATAATCCTATAATCACGCCAAAAATTCTTAGAGGCCTTTAGAAGGACCTTTGGCAGTATAAACTGGGAGTAATTGTTTACTGTATGTTATCTATCTCCTCCGCAACACAGTTTTGGCTCACTTTTATAAAGAAAATGACTTTAGTTCATCGAGGTTGGCAGTCGTTCAATCATCCAATGTCAGGTTAAGGTCTGGATCTTCACTTTGACCAATGTAACAACATGATACTGTCTTTTTTATTTTTGAGCCATTCTGTTGTTGATCTCCTGCCGTGTTTGGGATCACTGCCTTGCATCTCGACCCAGGTCTGGCCAAGAATCTGTTGGACAGATGCCCTCTCCATTTGACTGTAGAATACTTTGGTCTGCAGAGTTCTTGGTCAAATCAAGGATGTTTGACAGTTTGTATGAGCCGTTTATGAGATCCCCACTTTGGTCTCACCCAAAGGTCATTGTTCCAAAGGCTTTTGTAGATTATAAAATCACGCTGTGCTGCCATGATCGTTTTAGAGATAAGAGTCTGAGATGTTACCCTTGTTTAAACAGAGGATGACTTAATGGATTGTTGTCCATCTGAGGGTATATTTGCCTTAGACCTGCTGAGGACCAGATGATTTTAAAAAGTTTTAATTTATTAGGCCTTTAAAGAGAGTGAACTTAATGGTGGGTATTTTGACTTTGGTAAAGCAACTCTGCACTTCTCACAATGCTTACTTGCTCAAATCAAAATAGCTCTAGCCATCCACCCTAACTACCTTAATTTCTTGGATAACATCATTCATTAATTCTTCCAAAAATAATCACAGTTGATTCAATCAACATTGATCATGGTCGATTAACAAACTGTAACCCCACCAGTCATCGCAGAAACGCCGGTTCCACTTTGTACACTTTGTACGATGGACAATGAAATCACAAACAAATGTAACAATAACAGCTCTTGTCTTGTCTCAAAGGTCTCTGCAGTAGTGCTTTTGTGTTTCTGGTAGCTAGTTCTGTCACCATGTCAGTAGTGTTCTATCTGTGTGTGTTTTCTTTTTTTTTATCAAGGAGCATGAGACAGGTAAGTGAAATGCTTTGTATTCAGTATAAGATTTGTAGTTCATTTTTGTGGTATGATGCAAATAGAATGAGCAGTGCAGTTTGTTTTTTTTTTTTTTCAATGAAAGGTGTCCATAGCTAGGAAGTGATCCTGTGATGTGTTTGTGGTGTGCCCCCCCCTCCAGGCCCGAATGGACCGCACTGACATCGGCACTCTGCTCATTCCCAACATCCAGCTGTCTGACTCGGGCACTTACATGTGTGTTGGCAGCAACAGCATTGGGTCTAATAGTGCTCCCATTAAAGTAAAAGTGCTCAAAGGTGAGAGGGGAAGTCTGTCTTTTGGTTTGGTGTCAGTGTTGTTTTAGTTTTTTTGACCCCTTTGATTTAGCTGTTTAGCTATCCTTGTTTTTTTGATGGAATGTTTCATGTTAAACTGAACTTCGATGTTATAAAAACATAGTTTTGTTGTTTTTTTTTAGCCGCAGAGCAAAGATTTGCAGAAGTTCACATCGAGCCGTCTGTAGCCGAGGTCCAGGAAGGTCAGAGTCTGTCGCTCAACTGTTTTGCTCCTGGAAATCCTCCCCCCAGAGTGGCCTGGATGAGACCCAGTGGACGGCTCTCTGACAACCACCAGGTAATCACACACTGAAGGAGGGGCCGACCTCCTTTAGCAAACTTAAGAGAGATCACAAAAAGCAAGGCGGAAAAGCAGTGTGGAAGATAGGGTTGTCACGATACTAAAATTTTCAACTCGATACCGATACTCAGGAAAATACTCGATACTCGATACCATTTTCGATACCACAAGGATAAAAACAAAGACCCCAAAATTTAACTGAATTTTGAACTGAATCTTTCATTTGAAACTGATCTGTTACTGATGTTATCGTGGCTGGTGGCCCAAATTAATTACCCTAATCCTGACCCTAATCCTAACTCTAACCCTGACCCTGCCCCTGACCCTAACCCTCCACCCTTCATAATTGTGAGAAACAATTTTGGGGTTAAACTTGTTTGGACTTATTGTACAAACCTATTTAACATCCACGATTTTAACATAATATTATGGATAGAGTTTAATTAAGTGTTTGAAAGATTAATTTCACTATTTTTAAATTAATGTCCAGATTGCCATGAGGCATTACTATTTTCTTGCCTGGGATTTCCCTTTTGGTGACGTAATCAAAATGGCCGATTTGGATGTGGGCTGAGTTGGATATGTACTTGATTAATGGTAGCATGTTGTTATTAGCCATTAGCCGCAGCTAGCAGTTCAAGGCTAACGTCACGTTAATGATCATAAACAACGTAAATAAATACATAAATAAATCTGAAAGAAGGGGCGCAGCGTCGGCAGGTCAGCGTCGCGCGCGCGCTTGCGCGGGCCCGCGCGGACTCGCACGGGTTCGCGCCGTGGTATCGATACTTTTGAAAATGAGTATCGTATCCGGATACAACATTTTAGTATCGATACTTTTTTAAGTATCGATACTTTTGACAACCCTAGTGGAAGAAGACAGGATTTTGGAATGAAAATCACTGTGTTATAATCACTGTGTTTTAAAAATCAAGATGGTTCATCAGTGCAATTAGAAATTTCCTTTAAAATAATTTAATTTAAAATAAAACAATTTTTTTTAGAGAGAAAGGTGTTCAGTTGCTGCATAGGCATATTACATCCAATGGGGAATATTAAGGTTTCACCAAAATATATTATTAACTCAACATATTATCTTTGCTTGTTAATATTAATAATATTTATATTATCAGTATTAACAACCAAGAGTCATTGTATGGAGCTAAAACAGCTCTCACATGCAGAGGAAAGGATTTGATAGGACCTCTAAAGGGGCCTTGTGATAGGTGGCAACAAGATATTAACGCCAGCTCCTTGCAGAGCTGTAACTTTCAGAGTGAAACAGGCCAAGAGTCCCAGCTCTTGTTCTAGTCCATCCCAAAAGCACTCGATTGGAATTAGATGCTGGCTTGTTATCTCCCTTTTTGTTTCCCCTTGTGCTGTTGTTTCCCCCATTTATTTGTTAAAAGAAAAATGAAAGCTCCCTATTATAATTGGCCTTTTTCCTTTTCTCCAGTTTAAGTAAAGTTATCTTTGTAGTGTGTTAGCAGTTCATATAACATTAGCCCCTCTCCCTCGTGTTGGATCTAATGAAGAAAAACCCTCTTTTATTTCTTTTGTAAACTGCACGGTGCATAGTGTTTATGCAGCAAGTTTCATATTTGTTCCATCATACTATATCATACTATAACCAGACCTTTCACTTATAATGGTCAAAGCTACTGAGCTCTTTCCCCCCCGGTGTCTTTACATCCGAGTAAAATGCTAAAAAAAAACGGCCTTCCTCCAGGTTGTGGGCAGTCGGCTTCGCATCGTCTCGGCCACACCTGAGGATTCTGGAGAGTACGTCTGCCAGGTTCAGGGTGTCCCTGGGAAATTCGGTTCTACTGGTCATCAGGCCACTGTTTCTGTGAACGTGTCTTCCACCTCAACCTCTTCACGTAAGTTTTATTGTGACACCCGGCTACCTTCATGACTTATTTGTCCTCCTGAAACCATCTTGCATGGTTCTCCAAGTTATGTTAAATCTAACTAGATTGGCAGACTCTCACTCATGAGTTTGACTTCAGATTAAAGAATTCTCCTCTCTAAAATGCATTTTCTCTCCTAGCTAGAGTTGCTTTAATGACTTCCCGCACGATCCATGACATCAATGAATAGGGATATATCTCCCCCGACGACAAAAGTCAGTTAAGATTGTTCAGTTAGACACGATCCTCTGTCCAAACCTCTGGTTTTCGGCTGCAGGCCTGCAGAGCCCGATCATCGGCATTGAACCCCACAGCGCGGCGGTGCGCGCGGGGGAGTCGGCCAGCTTCACGTGCCGGGTGTACACGGGAGCCCAGCCAGTCCGGCTGGAGTGGAAACTGGCCAACAACCAGCCGCTGCCAGGTAACGAGCGAACACACGCCGGCCCCCGAGGAGCAAACCCGCTCCACGAGCTGGAATCTTATGAGGTCATTAGTTACACACAGTTGCAGCCGAGTTCCACCCGTGAAGCCCTCCGAAGTTCTTTTTCATGGTGTTTTTTCTTTATAAATAAATATCCACATTCTACATTGGCAGTGAGATTTTGTGTGAGGACAGGCTAAACAATCTCACATAACGTCAAGTAAGATTTCAAGACAGTGATTCAATTGTACTCAGTGGTATCTCAGACACCAACCTGTTATATTGTATATCTTTGGGAAATGACATGGGTAATGTCTCTCACTTATGATCTCCCATTATCTGCTCCTCTTTCCTCCAGACAATGTCAGAGTGTCCCCAGATGGTTCCGTCATGACCATAAGCAGTGCTCGCCCCATGAACCATGGCGCCTACCGCTGCGTGGCAAGCAACCCATTCGGCATCACCCACACCATAGTGTCCCTTATCGTCAAAGGTGAGCTACGTCTGCCCACCGCTAGTAGAGGGATTCCCTCCGGTGGCCGATCCCATACGATCTGTAACTCTATCGTGTGTTCTCGGAACCGTCAGAATCTCCCGTGGCCACCGTCACCCCCGTGGGGCCGGTGCGGGTCAGGGCGGGCGATCCCATCAATCTGGAGTGCCAGGCCTCGGGGGAGCCCAGGCCGTCGGTGTCCTGGCACCGGCTGGACAACAACCGCCGGACCGTGCTGAGCAGCCCCGTGCCCATGGACTCCAACGCCGTCATGCAGATCCTGGCGGCGCGCCCGGAGGACAGCGGCACCTACGTGTGCACGGCCCGCAACGTGGAGGGCGCCACCGAGACCAGGGTGGAGGTGACGGTTGAGGGGGGACCCCAGATCCCCGCCGCCCCCAGGGCCTCCGTTCCCGAGCCGCTGATGGTAGTGGTGGAGGGACAGACGGCCACTCTGCGCTGCGAGGCCCACGGTATGATGACTCGTCACTTTTGGTTTTTTATCGGTGAATAGCCGTACTTGAATTCAGTTCACTCGGAATCCTCCGCTTTTGGTCTTTCTGTAGGATTCCCCTCTCCTAAGATTACCTGGTCCAAGCTACGCTCCCCTCTGCCCTGGAGACACAAGGTGGTGGACAACAGCCTGGTGCTGCCCAGCGTCGGCCGGCAGGACTCGGGCGAGTACATCTGCAGCGCCACCAACAACATGGGCACCACGGACGTCACCATCATGCTCGACGTGGAAAGTGAGCATCATCTCCCAACTAGCATCTGACTCCAATCTCTTGATTTTCCTCATTTTTTAAACATCCTTTTTTTCTTAGCTCCTCCTTATGCCACCTCCACGGCGGACGTGGTGTCGGTACGGGTGGGGGAGGTGATCCGGTTGCAGTGCCTGGCGCACGGCACTCCCCCGTTGAACTACGCTTGGACCAAGCTGGAAGGGCCCCTCCCTCCGAGAGCTCAGGCTAACGGAGGGGATCTCCAGATCGACCTGGCCACCGCCGAGGACGCCGGGAACTACAAGTGTGTGGCCAGGAACCGAGTGGGCGCCAGCGAGGTCGTTACCAGAGTCACAGTCAGATGTAGGTCTTGACATCGCCGCACGGGTCTATGTGTTACATCACCAAGGGAAAAAAAGCTGACTCAGTAAAAACCTATTTTACCTATTTTTTCGTGTCCCTCTGCGTAGCCCCTCTCGCAGTGCGAGTGTCCCCACAGGTGGAGGTAAAAGCCCGGGGCAGTGCCGTGGAGTTCACCTGTTCGGCAGCAGGTGGCGTGGAGACAAAGATTGAGTGGCTCAAAGAGGGGGGATCCCTACCACCCAACCACCACCTCAAGGATGGAGTTCTCAGGTGTCTGCAATAAACAAGTCGTCCAAAATAAATATGGAGCTGGCCAAGCTGTGGCACGTTTTACCACACTGGCTGTATTAAGCATGTTTACAGACATATTTGGCACAGTTTACCTATTTTTCTACCTAAAGGAGACACATTAGAAGTATTGCATAAGATGTTTGGTGGCAACTGAATCTCAGTTTGTTAACGCTATGGATTTAATCCTTGCTCCGTAGGATTGAGAACCTGGAGCAGAGTAATGAAGGCGTTTACATCTGCAGAGCCATCAGTGACTATGGTCAGGCACAGGACACTGCCAGGCTGACCATCCAAGGTCTGTTACCTCCATTGCCAGAGGGAGATGTTTGGCTTCAAGGCTTTCTGGCAGAAATCACATATGGAGCAAAAAGAAAGAATCTGTGACACATTTTCCTCCCCTTCCTCCACTGTCTGTTCCTCAGCCCTGCCGAAGGTGATGATTAACGTGCGGACTTCGGTGCAGACCGTGATGATCGGGAACTCCGTGGAGTTCGAGTGCCAGGCCGTCGGCGACCCGGAGCCCACCGTCAAATGGAGCAAAGTCGGCGGGCCTCTGCCGGCCCACGTGGTGGTGAAGGCCGGCATGCTGAGGATCCAGCAGGTGACGGAGGCCGACGCCGGCCAGTACCGCTGCACGGCCACCAACGATGTGGGATCCGTTCAGTCTCAGGTGGTCCTCAACGTCCAGTGTGAGTCCCGGGGATCTTTTCTGTTTTTTTTCCATGCGTACACAAATGATTTTCGTGCAAATGAGTGATTCTGATTGTCATTCAAATGGCCACCTGTCTGCGCAGCCCTTCCTCAAATCGCTGCGCTCCCAGAAACAAAGGAGGTGACGGTGGGGTCTGACGCAGTCCTGCCCTGCGTTGCCTCAGGATATCCCGTGCCTGACATCCAATGGTCAAAGGTAATTGTGATTTCCTAAAGTATGCCGTTAAGAAGCTTTTTACTGGGAGGCTTGGTTAGGCGTTGGGGTCCCTTTTCCCAAGTGAACACCTCAAGGGACAGGCCACAAAAAATTACAACTAAGTTATTAGCTAGTTAGGAGCTTCATCCCGCTGTGTCTGGAGAAGTGGGTATATCTTTATTACCTGGCCTGATTTGGGTGTTTTGCTGCAGCCTGTCCACGGTGGATTAAAAAGTGAGCCAAATTTTGACATGCCAGAGTCCTCTGATGTCATCTGATGTATGAGCATGACCATTTTCACATACTAGCTCAAGCAGGAATTGAGGAAGTGTGCAATGGGTCAGCATATGTCCGATACATGGCTCCTGTCAGCGTAAAATAATGCCCTTACAGTAAAACATGAGATAATAAAAACACTACGGCTACACTAAAGGCCAAAACTTTTTTATCCAGTTAAATGTATACAACAAACAAATGAGGCACAGTGTATTATTGTATTACTTCAGTCAAAAATGTCCAGTTAGTAGTATATATGTGGCGGATAGGACTGAGGGTGGCAAACACCCAGGTTAGAGCAGAATTGGAACATTTATATTTATTTACTAAGAATGGTTAGGGTTAGGGTTAGAATTCCATACAGTTTTTCACCTATGGAATAACTGTTTTCCAGATGGAGGGAGAGCTTGCTCCTAAGTGTTTCCAGGAGGCCAACGTGCTGACGGTTCCTCGGGTTACCCACGAGGATTCGGGCACCTACGTCTGCACAGCCACTAACAAACAGGGAAAAGTGGAAGCTTTCACCAAGCTGGATGTTCACGGTGGGTTTGAAATCAACAGGTGGAATCATGACGGGATGTTTACAGTGGCAGTGTCTGACTGTGACCTGTGCCGTTTCAGAGCGAGTCATGCCGTACTTTGCACAGGAACCTTTGTCATACCTCACCCTGCCCACCATCAAAAACGCCTACAAAGCTTTCAAAGTGAAGATCAACTTCAGACCCGATAATGTTGATGGTAAGGGTACGCTTCCCTAAATATTCTCCGGTGTTTTTAACTGTTTGTGTAATAATGACTTTTTTTTCTACTTTTTTAGTTAAGAATAGTGATGTAATTCTAGTTTTTATTTTCTTCCATGTTTGTAATGCAATTTTCTTATTTCCTCATGTGCTTTCACCACACCTTCTGTCCCTTCCCTCTCTCCCACACCCCGCCCATGTGGTGGGAAGGTCTCATTTTGTACGCTGGTGAGTCTCAGGAGGTCAAGGCTGCTGTTGGCAGTTCTGCTTTCTGGCTGCGTCAGTCTGCCCCATCATGCTCAAAAGCTGTTTTTTATGGGCTGTGAAAGACACGCAAGATGGTGCATGGCCAATGTTTGCAGTCATGAAAAGCTGACTTACAGTTTTTAGTCCAAAAAAAAAGGTGAAAGAAAGAACCCCTCTTCATCAGACTGGACATTAGCATACCCGTGCAGCAGCTGGACGTCGCACACATCAAGTCAAGCTGCTTTTGCGAGTTTGTGTTGTTTTTTTTCGTTGTTGTTGTTGAATCACATCTGTTGCAGAACGTCGGCAAAATGGAAACAAATGATCGGTTTACTTGCCTGTGACATGTCCCACCTCCCCATCCCCGTGAGCGAGTGCAGCTCATGCATATGCAACGCACGTCTTTTTATCCAGCATGTGGAGAAAGAAAGCGGAGGACTGGCCGTATGGTGTGACTGGCTGCGTTTTGCAGCCCAGTGATTGGATGGCAGACGATAACATGGCTTTGGTTGGCTTTAGACCTGCAACACTATGGCATGCTGCTTTACCCATCCAGCTGTTTATATTTTCTCTTTGTTGGATTTATTGTTTAGAATATCCATCTTAACGAGCCATTTAAGTGAATAAGAATGCATTCATTTACTTTGTGAGCAAAAGAAACAGATGATTCCTTGGGGGGAATGAGAGATGGAAATTGTTTCAATCCATGTATAAAGCAAATTCATAGATTTGCTGACTCGTTATGATGGATATTGTTTTTCGAATATGCCTTTAGAATCAACTCTAATTTCAGAAGAGTTGAGACAGAGTGTAAAATGTAAACAAAGACAGAATGTGAAAATTTGCAGACATTATAAACCTATTGTTTGTTTGCACTGGAACACAGAAAACTGAACTAATGCCCAAAGTGAGACTAATCTTTCCTAATTGCAATGGCAGCAAGACGTCTCAAAAAAGTTAGGACTGTCAAAAAAGTTACTAAAAGTTTCCTCACTGCTGCTTGCAGTGAGATAAATGGGAAAATGTGTGCATTTAAAGTGTAAAGAAAGCACCTTAGAGAAGCAGAGTCTCTCAAGAAGTAAACATTCAGCCATCTACTGCAAATCATGGAGCAATTTTACAACAAAGTTTTCACTTTGAAATCACTAATACTTGCTGATATTCCACATGGTGTAATTCAAAGATCGAAATAGTCAAGAAAAATCTCTTTTGAATTGAACTGAAATTAATTGGTTAAAAAAGACCATTGGAGGCCTGTCTGACTTGTAAAAGTAATGGGGGTTCTTTTGTGGACGTAGAATGGACTACTTGTTAAAAACTATATAGACGAAAACATAAGCTCAAATTTAGACGAAATCTTTTTTCAGAATAGACAAGCTCATGCTGACCCACATTTGGTTTTACAACAGCGTTTCCTTGTCATAGAAGATTCAAGGTGCCGAGCTGGCCTGCCCACAGTCCTGACCTTTCTGCAACTAAAAACAGAAAGAAAAAGAAGACAAACAAGACCCTTTGAGCAGCTAGAATCCCCCATCAGACTAAAAAAAAGGGTAACATTCTTCTCCCAAAGTGATCTCCTTAGATTCCTGACATTTTCCTGGCCATGTTAGAAGAAGAGGGGATTCTTGAGCCATGTTGTTGCCATTCGCATTGAAGACAAGCTCATATTTTTCAGGACTAATACCATATATCCCATTTCAAGTTTCCTGTGTTCTGTTGTGAATATAAAACTGGTTGATTACATTTGCAGTTCATTGCATTCTGAGTTCTTTTTTACATTTTACTCTGTGGGGAGTTAGGGTTGCAAATACAGGCTTTAACACACTTTTTTTTTGCTGCCTTAGGCATGATCCTCTACAACGGCCAGAGGAAGACCACGGGGGCTGACTTCATCTCTCTGGGACTTGTCGGTGGGCGCCTGGAGTTCAGGTCAGGCCTCTCGAACCTCCCGTCGCACGCCGCTTCAGGGAAATACAACCCGGTGAAAGCTGTGCGTTCTGAGATAAATGTGTCATCTCAGGTTTGACGTGGGCTCTGGCATGGCCACCATACGCGACCCCAACCTCATTAAACTCGGAGAGTTTCACACGGTGGAGCTGAGTCGCAACCTCACCCAGGGATATATCATCGTGGACGGAGGAGAGCCCATTAACGGCACATCACAGGTTAATGACAAGCCTTTTAAAAATGTTTAACCGTGTAGATTTGGTTATTTTTCATCAGTTAAGATGAGTTTCTTTTCCTTAATCAGGGCAAGTTCCAGGGCCTTGATCTGAATGAGGAGCTGCATGTGGGTGGTTACCCCAATTACACACTCCTCACCAAAACCGCTGGCATTAAGTCCGGATTTGTGGGTAAGTTTTGGTGATACTTCACTCTGTTTGGGAGGATAGGCCGTTTTCAGTCTGCAATGAGCTGTTTCTATTATTACACAGAAGTAGAAGAGCCCAAGAGATAACTGCATTTGTGATTTTGCTGTTGGTTTTATTGGATATATAAGTGTGTTACATGTGTGTGCTCTTTGTGTAGCCTCGCAGTTTCAGTAGTTTTACATCTGAACAGTTGAAAAGGGAAGCACCGTGACCCCGTTGGGAATAAGCGATATAGAAAATGGACACTTGGAAAAAGCAAAAAACAATGCAGGGAGGGTCATTTTTTGCCGGATTAGCTCTACAGCAGGCCCAACATGAGAGGAGAAATAACCGAGAGACAGTAGAAATAAACCTTTGAGAAACACACACCCGAGAGTGGAGGATCTTTAAGAATGCTAACATACCTGGCCCCACAGTGGAATGAAATAAACATGAAAGAACAGGATGAGAAACAGGAGCATGTAGGAGAACTTTGCTTTATCTCCTAAGACTCTTGTTTCTTTCATTTCTCACTATTGTTTTAAAGGAAAGGTTTTGTGGGTATTTTTTCGTCTTGAGTTTGGACCTGTATTCCTAACTGATTGACCGTCTGATTTTAAATTTCACACCACACAGGCTGCATCCGTCAGCTGGTCATCCAGGGAGAGGAGGTGATCTTTAAAGACCTTGACCGCAGCTCTACCGGCGTCTCGAACTGCCCCACCTGCAAAGACCACCCATGCCAGGTAACGTCCACCCACACACACGCCACGTCTTTCATTCCGTCGTACTCAACCGAACGACTTCCCTCTCCTCATTCAGAACGGAGGACGGTGCGAGGACTCGGAGGCCAGTTTGTACAAGTGCAGATGCCCCGGAGGGTTTACGGGCAGCAACTGCCAGCACCACTCGTCTCTGCACTGTCACTCAGGTGCGTGTGAACCACCAGCTAACCTCACGCGACTACAAACCTCATAGATATGGATAAATCTGTTCCAATCTTGACTTCTTCAGAGGCCTGTGGTCCAGACGCTACCTGCATCAACCGCCCGAGTGGCCTGGGGTACGACTGTCGCTGCCATCTTGGGAAATCTGGAAATAAATGCATGGCTGGTAAGACAGGAAGTTACCTTGTTACGTTTACTCAGATGGGGGAAAAAAATCGACATATTTGGATTATTTTAGTGCTGTGAACTGTTTGTATACCTTTAATTGTATTGGGGTTTTTTTCCCAGGGGAGTTGGTGACAACTCCGCTGTTTGATGGAGTGGAGTCATACATAGCTTACCCTCCCCTGACCAACATCCACGACGACCTGCGTGTTGAGCTGGAGTTCAAGCCCCTGGAGAAGAACGGCCTCATGTTCTTCTGTGGTGGGAAGAAAATGAAGGTGGAGGACTTCGTGGCCATTTCCATGGTGGATAGACACGTGGAGTTCAGATATGAACTGGGCACCGGTAACCTCTGCATACTTACTTGTCCTTTGCAATAGAATTTTAGAATTACGAATTGAGAAACTGTAACGCCTGCTGTGTCAATTCTGGGGGTTTTCAGGACAGGCAATCCTTGTCAGTCCGGAGCCGGTCACCTTGGGTCAGTGGCACCGAGTTGTAGCCGAGCGGAACAAGAAGGCCGGCCACCTGAGGGTGAACCAGGGCCCGGTTGAGCGGAAGACGTCTCCAGGAAATGCCCAGGGCCTCAATATCCACACCCCCATGTACTTAGGCGGAGTGCCTAAGATGGACATCCTGCCCAAGCCTGCAAACATCAGCGAAATGTTCGAGGGCTGTATCGGAGAGGTGACCATTCCCTTCCACCGAGGAAGCGACCCCAACCTTAATGACTATTTTTTTTTCTAGGATGTGGACTCTGAACCTGGTTTGCTCCTGCCGTGCAGGTTTCAATCAACAACAAGAAGGTGGATCTGTCCTACAGCTTCACGGAGAGCAAATCCATCAGCAAATGCGTGGACAGCAGCCCCTGTGACCGCCGGCCCTGCCTCAACGGCGGCGACTGCATGTCCAATGCCGAGTATGAGTACCAGTGCCTCTGTAAGGATGGATTTGAAGGTTAGACAAAGCAGGTTCATCTCTTTAGCCAACGATCGCGAAAGGATTTAAAAAAAAAACCTGGTTACGAGTTTTAGGAACTGACCCCTGACCCCGCAGGTGAGCGCTGTGAGGTGGTGAAAGACGTGTGCCAGAGCCACCGGCAGTGCCAAAATGGTGGAAGTTGCGTGGGCGGGCAGTGTGTGTGCGCGCCCGGGCACACGGGCCCCAACTGCGAGGAAGGTAAGTATCGACCAGCACGATTACGCAACATAAAAGTCCAAACCAGCAGGATCCAAGGACTATAACATCTCTTCCAAACACACACATCACCTAGTTAAAAAAGATAGCCATCATCAAAGCAGAAAAGATCAAGGCAGGCAGGCAGAGCCCATACGAGTCAGATTTTCAACAAAACGGCTTCCAGGTCTCTCCCAGCACCGCACGGTATGCTGGGGGAAAACAACCTTAAGTGATTGCACGTGTCTTTATCCTGCACTCTCAATGCTGTATCCTGCACACACAGGCCAGGTCCTCAGCTCCCCCGAGGCTGCGTGGAGTTCAGAGGCTAGCGAGGCGAATGGTACAGTATCTGAATACTCAGTCTGCCTGACACCACCGTGACTAACAGGGCGAACCCTCAGAGTCTGAGGGGGCCCCCGCGTCCACGTCCCAACTCAAACCTCAGCCGTCTACCGCCTAACACATTCGCCAGCATCCACCCAAAACCATGCATCCGTCCTCCACTGGCACCCGAGGTTTCTTAATCCCCTTTGGGAAAGTTGGGAGACAGGAATTCTGCATCTAACCCAAAAAAAAGGTGACGGGGGGTTGGTAAAACAGACTAAACGCACTGTTTTCAGACAGGAAATGGTAGAAATGTGGAATTCCTCCCCCTTTTTTCTTCTCTTCCTCCCTCTCATGTCAGTGTCTACAAGGCAGATACTCACCAACTTGTTTCTGTAAAACTTCAGAAGTGCCCGTCCAGCACATGGAAGTGAAAACTCAAACTGTCTCGGTCAATTCATTCAGTCTGCTACGTGTTCACACATTTGCATCTTTACTAACTGTCCTCTGTAACTATTCGGTGGTGGTTGTTTGGTTGGGATGTATTCCAGGCATATTCCATGCTCGGTGGGATTTGTATGCATGGAGCGATGAGCATTGTCGTTGTATTTATGAGTTGGAGGTCTTACATCTGCTGTAGCCGGTGACAACGAGTGTGCATCATGGAGTTTTGTGCATATTGATTCCAGGCACATGGAATGTAGTAACATATTCTTTCAGATTTTGGAGCACTTGAGAACAGATACAGCCTCATTCTGATGCGAGGTAAAAGGGAAGGACAGGAAACATGTTTACTTCTTTTTTTTTGTTTAAAACCACAGCAAAATGGTGCATTCAGGTTCCCACCTGTAGCCGTCACACCCAACATCGACTCAAGGTTGATGACGATAATGATATTTACAAGCATTTAGTGTAACAGAATTTCAAAAGAAGAGCTCTTTTCGTTGCACCAGATAGGGCCACTACATATTTCTGTGTAAGGATTTGCTGTCAGAAGCTAAACAAAGCTACCTTTAATTCCAAACAGACAATCCCTCTTTATATTGATTTGGTGTCGTATCACTGTTCTATTTAAATCTTACTATTTACTTCCCTTATCTTAATTTTGTGTTATATTACCAAATAAAGTCCTCATAAGTCATTCCATTGACGGCATGCCCTTGTATTGTGTCCAACCGAGCGTATAATATCAGGGACTCTTCTGTGTTTTTAACACCAGAGGGCACCATAACAGCAACTTTGAAAATTCGCATGAACCCCTTCTTCACTTTTTATTTCATGATATGTTGTTTTAGATTCACCCTATCAGTATGCAGCTCAATTCCGCAGTAACGGATACGTCGTCCTTCCGAAATCCGTCTTCCCAAGAAGGTAATGTTATTTTGTGATTGTATTAACATGGTTTTACACTGACTTTATTTGTTTTGAGTTGTTGCCATGTCTCAGAAGGGATTTCATACTCTGTTTTTTTTTTAATCCTTTTATATCATCTTTTTTTGTAGTGCCCATGACTCACCTGAGACGATTGAAATGGAAATCAACACCAGCTCTTCTGAGGGCCTGATACTGTGGCAAGGAGTGGTATGTCCTGCCCCTCATGTGGAACGCTCACATCCCTACCTCCAACGTTTTTTTTTGTTTTATTTATTTATTTTTTTTGTAATCCTCATCCTAACCTTGCTCTGCATAATCAGCACCATCACTTCATCTGTCAGAACTCACAGATGTTTTTTCATAATCTGAGTTATTCTCTGTTCCAGTCATGCATCGCTGACACAAAAACTGCCCTGTTCTGTTATCAAAATCTCTCATTGCCCCGTCTAATTCTCCCCCCATGCTGCTGAGGCCGTGGCGAAAGCCGTTGGGCATGTTTCTGACACCACTAAATACATGCATGTGCTTCTCTAACTCACCCTCCGTTTTCCTCAGGAGACCAGTGGTGCACGCAATTTGCGAAAGGTGCATGCTAGTAAAAAGGTATTCACTCCAACACAAGACACCTTAACGTTTCATTTGCCTGTGAGCTGAAAAAAAATTAAGAAGAGGAATACATTTTTTTCAATCAAGACGATTCTAGAGAAACAATGGATGTTACTTTAATTGCAAATGCAAGTAGGTTGTATGTCTGGCATGTAAAAGATTTGTTTTGGCCTTGATATTTTCCATTTTTTTAAATATTTTTTTAAGATTTTGTGCCACATCTTTTTGGAATGATCTCATTGGATTGCTTCATGTTGACTCACTACAACACTTGATGTGGAAAGTCCATAGCTAGTTTTGGATAGGAGTCAGTCACACAACATTTTCCTTTATTCGCATTTATTTTCAGCAACCCGGAGAACACAGCAGAGGCAAAGACTTCATCAGCCTCGGCTTACAGAACGGACACCTCGTCTTCAGGTGATGCTTTCAGTCCGCTGACATCTCGACGCTTTCCCAAAATGATTATCAGTTCCCCTTTATGTTGAAACGGTGCTGACAGTTTTCTCCATATTCCAGTTACCAGTTGGGCAGCGGGGAGGCAAAGATAATGTCCCGAAGACCTATCAATGACAGGAAATGGCATAAGATTACAGCAGTCAGGTATGATTCAGTATCATTTCCTTTTGTTTCACATGTAGAAACAGATAATGTCTTCCCTCTTACATTGTGAGCGCTACAATTTATTCATAGGAGACTTTTCCACAGGCCAGCGTAAGTATTGAGAGCCGAATAACAGCTGTCAGCTATTTTTTTTAACAGGTATCCATATTACAAAAAGTTACTTGATATTAAATACAACAGCCACAATAGATTTAATAACCTTTATCAAATAAACCTGTGCTTTTCAAATTTCTTTGCATGTAAAAAATATCGGCTGTGAAACTGTTTTTGGGTGGTACTGTGAACCGTTTTGAACCTGAATGTCAGCGTGTGTTTTTGCGTTGAGTTTTTTTGTTTCTTGTGAACTGCAGAACTGGAAGAGATGGATATATCCAGATCGATGGAGGGGAAACACTACATGGACAGTCTAAAGGCAAAAGCCTCATGGTCAACACCAAAGGCAGTTTATACCTTGGTGAGCATCCATAAAGTGTCAGAATTAAGGCTGAAGATGAAAAAATTCTATTACGCCCTGTCAGAGAAAAGCTATTTCTTGCTGTCATATTATACTTCTTAAAATATTATATATATATATATATAAATATATAAAAAAAAATAAAAAAATATATATATTTTTAATATATCAATTTATTTTTATATATATATATATATATATATATATATATATATACACATAGAAAAACAAAATACTTCCCTGTTCCCTTAAGTTGTAACTTTATGATTATCTATAGATAGATAGATAGATAGATAGATAGATAGATAGATAGATAGATAGATAGATAGATAGATAGATAGATAGATAGATAGATAGAATTTCCTCAGAAGTGTGCAAAATTCCTTCTGTCAGGCCCTGAAAACAGCAAGTCTGATTGAAGGGTATGAGGAAAAATGATGAAGATTGCAGACAAAATGAACAAATGTGTCGTTTGTGAATCTCTCACCGTGACAGGGGGGGCACCCGACATGGCGGCCATGACCGGGGGGAAGTTCTCCTCAGGACTAGCGGGCTGCGTGAGGAACCTGACGCTGATGAACGCCCGCCCGGGCCAGCAGCCGGCCCAGGCCATCGACCTGCAGGCCCACGCCGGCCACGGCCTCAACGTTCAGCCCTGCTCCTCATAGACACACGTTTTTAAAACGCACACCTACACACACACACAGAGACTATGGAGTGACGTCACACACACACACACACACGCACAGAGACTCACCCACATCGAGCCCGACACAAACTTGGTGCTTCGCTGCTACCAAAAAGAAAAGAAAAAAGAACAAAACACACACAAACCACGAATAAAAATTATGTTGTTTTTTTTTCCTCTGTGTGCAAATAAACCAAAAAAAAAAAGCGAGAAAATTTTTTCAAAAGTGTTAACAAGTCTTCTCCACAGTGTTGTACTCTGACTGAAGGACTTTAAAAAATAAAGGACAGCCAGCACAGTTTTCATACTTCCAGCAGCAGTTTTAGAATAAAGAGGATAAAGAGTAAAGCATGTTAGGTCTTCTACGATGGGTCAGATCCTATGGAGAAGGGAGAGGTTTTTACAGCACTGAATTTTTATTTATATACATATAAATTTATATATTATATTTGTGGGGGGAGGGGACATGCAAACTAACCATACAACTGCTCTTCAGCTTTCCTAGAGTTCATTCTGGGGTCTAATACTGTGTGTCCAGGGCTTTTTTTTAGGCCTAACTGTATTAATACTTGAAGATGTTTAGGCCTTCTTTCATTCACTCTTCTGTAGAGAAAATTCTCCTCTTTTTTTTTTTTTTTTTTTTTTTTTTTAGCGAGCATGCTTAAAGTCTTTAACCAACAGTTTGGGGAGGAGTGCACATGGTCACAGTCACATGCAGCTTCAGTACACAACTCAGGATGTCTAAGGCAAATGAATAACCGCAAATGTTACAAGTATTGCTGCTTTAACACAGCATTTTCGTTTTTCTTTTTTTTCTTTTTTTTTTTGGCTTTAATCATAGTGTTGTGTCTTCTCTGATTATATTTGTTCTTTTTTTATGAAACCTTGGTGCTAATGTCAGACATGAAGATACAGCATATAGTCATAGGTTTACCTGTCTGTCATATGTAGCTGTCCTTTAATTTAGGCTTTTGGATAGCGTCTAGATGAAGAAAACAATCCAAAACGTCAGTCTTCTGTTGATGCGCATGGCATTTGGGTTTGATTTGATCACGATACGGTGTAGTTTGCCGCCTCCACATCCTCATGTGATTGAGTAGATCTCAAAAAAAGGAGTTGTTTAGAACTGAAAAGGGTGTGATTTTATTTGATTTTATTTTTTTTCTTGTGTGATTGTTAAAGATACGTGTAAAACTATCTGCCAGTCAGGTAGATATCCGTTTCAACTGAGAATGAGTTTGTACGCAAAGTAGCTTTGCTTTGAGCTTTTCCAGCTCCTGTCCGTTTCGAACTGGTCACTCCACACTAAGCCCCCAGCCAGAGAGTCAGGTGTTTGTCGCCCGTGTGTGTGTGTCGTTATCCATATCCTCAGGAGGGGTGGATCCAGAACTGCCTCAAGATATAATTTTTTTTCTACTTAAATTTCAGGTTCGGTAGCTTTTAGAGACACCTTTAGTAAGCTCTAAAAACTCTGAAGGCTGCAGAGGGGGAGGTTCAGGGGCCTTTGTCTCTGTTTCGAACACGAAAGGAACGCGGTGGAAGCCTCCTGTGATCAGGGGCTGTGATCAGTAGTGTAGCTCCGGCCGAGTATGCTCGCCCCCCCCCCAGCTTTTTATTCGGCCACACGGCAAAACCACCACGGCCTCGGGGCTCGCTGACCTCTTCCTTTTTTCTCACTCCTCGTCAACTTAAAACGTGTCTATTAACACCCTGAAACGAGCACTGTCTTTCCACTTTTTAGCGGCCTCGTCTTTATTTATTTCGCGGGCTTTTCCAGTTTCCTCTTTTTTCACTGCTTTTTAGCTTTTCGAGGGTTGACTCTGCTGCTTTAGAGCGAATACAGAAGCTGGCTGTTTTCTCCTCCGCCATCATTGAGTGTAACCTCAGACACCCTGTTTTTGTTTTTTTCTTCCCCCACACTCATGTTTGAGTTTGATCAATCATTAAGTTCTTTACAAAGCACCCAAACAAGGTTTTATGAAATGAAATACATGTCTCAAACAATGAAAACCGGTTTTCTTGTTGGCTCTATGAATAATTGTCTTGGGTTCCACATGCATGAATGGAGAGAATAGTGTCATCATCAACATGTGGGATAAAAAAAAAGAGATAAATGCCGTTGTCCCTGTTTGGGACATTAAAGCAGAGGATTATTGTGTGTGTGCCCCTTGTTGGGTATCTTTTGTGTGTCATCTCTTAAACTGGATTGTAACATATACACGGTCACCGAATACAAATTTACAAAGGTGCACTTTTAGTGATTTTTACTTTTTTTTTTCTTTTTTAAAAGCTACATTGTTCTCTTTTAAATGGCAGACATAAAAAATAAATAATTCAGCTAATTGAATGAAAGCCTACCAGCATGAAAATTCTCCCGTGTCGGCGCGAGCTGACTTTTTGAAAGATGCCCCCCTTTTTGCCGTTGCTGTTTCCTAAATAAAAACAAAATTCATGTGCTATTTGTAATCTGGTGAGTTTTTCTTTATTTTATTTTATTTTTTCCCACCAACACATTTCTGTGTTCTGTTCAACGCTCCAAGGAACAGTTTCACGCCGGTCTTCATGAGCATCCTTTTGTCTATTCCAGGTAATCCTTTAATCGGGTCCCTAAAGAGGTGCATGTTAATATTTCAACAGCCAGTGATTCCTTACAGAGGTTACACCCAAAACCAGTTTGTAAAATAAGCCTGTGAGTTCTCCTCATCTTACATAATTCCGTTTTCATGACAAATGAAACGTAAGATAGAGTCAACATACGAGCAAGATAAAAAAAAAGTAATTTAATGATTGGAATACTATATGATGATATACTGACAACTATACAATGTTTCAGTTTATTTTGATAACATCACAACATTATGTACATTCTTTCCTTGCTCTTCTAAGCTGAGCAGAAGCAAATGTGACCAAAACAGCAATGATTTGGTGTTGGAACATCTGTTTTCAAGTTTCGAATCCCGTCCTGCTTTTTGTATAAATCGAACACGGGAAACCGTCATATTTACATCCCTGCAAACACGATGATTCAAGAATCCAGGTCACTCATCACGTGTGTCATATTTCCAACCTCTTTTGCTACGATCAAACCAGAGTATGGTAAGAGACCTCCGTATTTACTTGCTCTGGTTTCCAGGTTTCAGTTGGATAACGTTCATCATTTGTAGATTTTCAGGAGAAAAAAAGACCTTGTTCAGAGAGCTGTGGTTACCTGTACCTCACACAACCAGTGATTTTTTCAAAATCACGCACATCGAAAGGCCTTTGAAGAAAATTGTGGCCTTGGAAAAAAGTTTGGGAGGCATTCGGGGTAGCTTCTAATCTTTCAAAGAGTGGACATCCCAGCTAGTCCTCACCAACATCAGAATGTGCCACACTCAGATAGATAGATGAAGGAAAAAAAACAACCCTACTTCTCAGATTCTATAGGCCTTACTTTGCATGCAAAATGTTAGGTTATCACACTACAACTGCAAATAAAGATAATATTTTTGTGGTTAAAAGAGCATAGCATGGCCTCTTAATTTAGCACAACTGCATTTGAACCAGATGACAGTGGAGATTTTATACCATAATCCACAGGACCGGGTTTGGAGAAAACCAAGCACAGCGAACTCACACTCTTTGTCGAACACAGCTTATTTATATCTAGCTTTGTTAAGATGACCATGAACTCTATGTGCATGAACTCGATATACAAAATATTCTGGGGTTAAAAATGTCTGATCATCTTACAATTGACCCCATTCATCAACTCATTTAATTTTTGCAGGGTATTGACCTAAAGGACGTGCTCAGTTTTTACACACTTTGCTTTTGTGTAAAAACGGTTAACACGCAATGTTTTGATTTAATCTGAGGCTATCTTTATACATTTTATATGATAGATAGATAGATAGATAGATAGATAGATAGATAGATAGATA